GTATGTTCCACGAAGTTGATTCTAGGGAGATTGAAATCCCCTAGAATCAGGATATGAGAGAATCCAAGACGCGTAGAGCGAGTTAATCCTTCCAGCAGACGTTTGTCATATTCGATGTCGGCAGTGGGCTTCCTGTAAACGACCCCAACTAGGCACCTCGAGGTGGTAGATAACCTTACTGAGCACCATACTGACTCGTCAAGATTGTGAAACTCTTGGTTGTGAAGTTGGTGCGCATCCAGGCATGACCGTACGTATAGTGCTACCCCACCCCCCATTCCTGTTTTTCTGTCGTTGCGAAATAAAGACATCCCAGTTATTGCTAACTCTTGGTCCGTAAACTGAGACGTTATCCAAGTTTCGGATATTCCTATCAGATGGGCATCATTAGCGTTGCTAAGTTCACGTAGCTCATCCATTTTGTTTGGCAAGCTCGCGGCGTTCGTGTATAGGCAGTTTATGCTTTCAATTTGGAACGCGTGAGCCTATTCTTGTTTGTCTATATAAGCCGTGTGTGAGTGGACAGGTAGTCTACCTATACGATGTTTACCGAGTTGGTAGTCCCTGTCCTTTACACGTTTTTTTTATGATCAAGACAGTCCACGAGTGGAATTGTCAGCTCCAGCTTTCGTTTGTGCTTGATCCTGCTGTCGTGGGGCCTATCCGGATGCATATGGATGCCAGTTGGCAACCGACGTCTATTGGCACGAAATGCTTCCAGAGTTGCAGCCGCCATGTGGGAGGAGGGGAAGGTTATCTTCAGCAGCCGGGGCCTAGAATCTCCGTCTCTCTTGGCCAGTCTCATTACCTGTTGGGTCAATATGTTCTTGAGTTTTAAGGAATGCTTGATGAATTTCCATTCTCGAATATCAGAGTTTGCTTGAGCTGGGTCCATATTTTCCGGCACACCTTGCACAATGATATTTCGTCCACGGAAGAACGCCTCGCGAGATTCCTTAGGGATGTTCCGGATGAGATTTCGTTCAGAATACGGTATGTCGGGCAGTATTCTTACGTTCCCATCGGACCTCAGTAAGTGACTGGCTAGTAGGACGTCCTCTACGTCGGAGGCATTCTTAAGTGTAACACGAAGCAGCCTCGGGTGGTTTAGGTGGTTAGAGTCCTTCCCCCGAGTGAGCCGTGTGACGGTCAAAGGCTCTAATCTAGGGAGTTCAAGCCTCTTGATTAATTCTCCCCAGAGCATCCTATCGTTTTTGTCCTGCAAACTGAGAGGAAGGTCGGGGTTGTCAATAAGGTTCATGATTATGACAGAGTCGTCACGAACCGCAATTGATTTCCCAGGTTTACCAGGGCGTCTAGGTTTGGTATCTTGTTGTTTGGATGTCGAGGCGCTTTTTCGATTCCTGGGCTCAGTGATGACCGGGCGGACAGTCTTGGGTGTAGACTGTGCGGCCAAAGCATCAATTGATTTACGCACGATACTTGGGACGTTCAGTTTCGGAGGGGACGCTTGGGCTTTATTACTCCTGTTAACGTGAGTCCATCCACCTACAGGATTTTTAGGAACCACTGTCTCATTCAAGGACCGTTCCCCGGAGGACCCAAGTTTACTGAGGGAGTCGATGACAGTCGATGTTAAGATGGTGCTGAGTTTCAACACATCATCACTCGTGCTGTTAACAGCACCGTCGATAACCGACCTGTCAGTATCCTTTTTCTTATTTGCCCTATGCGTTCCAGCTTTGTTACCCGTCATGATGATATCATTAACCGAATTCTTTGACAACTTATCTCTCAGACCTGTCAGTAAAGTAATGATAGTGCCCAACATAACTACCGTATCGGTGTTGCAGGTAACACATACCCACTTACGATCAGACTTGCTGAGTCTGCTATAAGCTGCTGCTGTTAGATCTGTACATGCTTCATGGAACCAACCTTTACAGTTGTCACATTGCATGCCAGATGTAACGGCAAAACGGCAACCAGGTCTCTTGCATGAATTTTTCATGGCTAGTGATTTAGACTGTCTTAAAAATATAAGCAGTAAATTTAGGACCGTTAAAAAAACACACAGTAAACAAAAACTATCAAAAATGTATAAAAACAGTTAACGATAAGCTAAAGCTAGCCTTTACGTGAAAACTATAAAAAAAAAACCGATAGTGAGCTGAGGCAAAACCACAGTTAACTATTAATTTGAGTGAAACACAAAAAAGAAGTAATCTACCGAACGTATAGCTCAGAATAGATTCTTTGGATTGGAAATGATACTTTTGTTGCGTAAGAACACAGCAAAAGTTTGAGAAATGTAAATCACGTTAGGACTAAACTTCCCGTTCGAATAGCGCGCGTAAGCAAAAAAGGCTTCTATTAGAAAGCAAAATAACAAATAAATTATCTCCATCCTGTTATGGTATATATAGGTGCTGCGTTACACATACTACCTGTCTTCATTATAATCCTTCTATCTATTAAGTTAGGGCTTCAGCTCATAAGAATGTATGGGGAGATTACATTTTGCTATCCTTTGCTATGATTATTTCATCCACAAATATAGTCTCATCAAGTGAATGTGTAAATTTCTGCGACGTATCAGGTACCATGTGCAACTTAGTATAACTTTATTCCTCCACTTCGAGAAGTTGTGAAAAATGATATTACTGGTATTTTTGGAGCGTAATCCAAACCAATCGAGAAAGGACTTTAGTTGCACTGAGCTATACTACTTATTTCATTTCGGATGTTCAAATCTTCTCAAGATCACTTCCCGTATACCATAATAGGGTTATTAACTAATGTGAGAGATTAATATCATGTGCTATGTTTTTGTTTTTCATCACGAATCGACTTCAGATATAATACAAAGGCTACAAACTCCATTTTCCTGAAATACTCCTCATCATACCATTATCTTTCTGTTTTTTAATTGGTTGAACGGGTAAAATCTCCTAGGTCGCACAACAGCATAGCTTTATAAAGACTTTAAATGGACTTCTTCACGTACTAAATAACTTCAGTAAATGTTTCCTTTTTGTTCCTGCAGCTACTAGCTGGCAGAATTTTCTAACCTTTCAACTAAGTTTTCCCAACATCCACCTATATAATTGTAACTTTTCCAAGAAACGACTATTCGCTTGTTAACTGTATTAGGATGTAGATAAAATACCCTCCGTGTCCACCAATCTGGTTAAGGTGCTAGACATTCGCTTTTCGTCCTCTTAATTTCGTAAACAACACCCCAGCCGCGAGAAGTCAGTGAGCAGGACTTCCCTGACAGTGGTCGTATGCACGCAGCCATGTGAGAGCATTTCGAGTGGGAGAATTGATTCTTTCCACCCTCGACCGTACCAGGGCATTAGAGGGCAATTATGCACCGTGTGTGATGGCGAATTACATTGTGGAAAAATTAATATGACTACATAAATTCTCAACTTATCCCACTTATGGCAAAAGTTATTTACCCATCTGCCTAAAAACGGCAAGAATATTAAATTGTGAATCACTAAGTTTCAAGATTGAATATAAACATCAACCCCTATTATTCGACCATAGTTGAGTATACAATATTAGTGTTAGGTGTAGAGTGCTAAGTAAAAATGGTGACTTTAATAATTTAATTCGAGGTGATCATAACATGAGATACATATGCCCATCTATGGTCATCTGGTGTAACGGTTATCATATGAGTAGATTAATAAAAGCTAAGAGCATCCAAATAAATACTTGGCATTAGTTCATAAGGTTATAGGATGTTATTCTGAATTACATAGGGAGATTCTAACTTCGTTGTTGGAGTATTCACAAGAATAATCGTGTTATAAGTTCAAGAGCTTTAGTTGACATGCATTAAAATCAGTCTCTGTAATGAAAGTGCACCCATTATTTATCAACCCTTATATCTAGGACATAATATTCTATAGCCTTCATCATTCAGTTTTGTCCATATCTTCTTTATTACTTTTACTGCCACTAAATTTTCAGTTTTCCCTCGTGTTGACACAAAGTATTTCAAAATAGGTAGGTACTTATTTGCGTTAGATTTCCCGTCATTGTTTATTCAAGTATTTCCTACTTGAATTACCAGTGTATTTCGTAGTATTTGAATGAATTTAACTCCAACATACATTTTTCATAACAAATGTGAAACTTAGAAACTAGTAGCCGCTTGTCGAAACAAAAGTACACTAATCCTCCAGTTAACGAAACTGCTGTTTAGAGTTATAGTGTTTTGTTTACTATTAATCTTGCTTCTCTCAACAAAATCTAACGTAAGTATCTAGTAATAAGATAATTAAGTGCTGCTCATTAACTCTACAAAAGTTTGTATACTAAGTAAACATGTATTAACCATACTACCCTGTTAATAAATTAGTATGGTTAAGGTGAGTTTAAACCTGATCCATTGATTAGGAATCGAGCTTCCAGGTCACTGGCTCATTATTTTACAATTAATGTTGTAGATATTAAAACAACCCATTATGTCATTGAATAAAAATAAACAGAATTCAGCGAAGATTTTCTTTTCGACAAAATCACTCACTTAAGTTGTACATTCGTATTTATAGTTGTATGGTAAATATATGTCTACAGAAGGATAGAAATAGATATATTATACACTATTTTTAATACTTATAAGAGAATTACCTGTTATGGTGCATAGTCAAGTTACCTTGTGAGTTGATTCTCTGCAAGTGAAGTATGTGCTGAATTCACAACTCATTGACTGAAAATGAAATTCTTATCCTGATGAGTTACAACTCTAAATTTTGTAGACTATAACTTATTACATACAAGGTAACGATTAATGGCTTATACAAATGACAAAGTTGACCTTGTGTCAGTCTGAGAATATTTACAGGGAACATAGAACATAATTATGTAACTATGACGAAGTCCATCAAGTACGTATTAAAATATGTATGCAAATCTCATTTCTTCGTGGGGTTTTTCTTCACGACTAGCTTTATAAAGGTTTTTAAACTTATATTTCATATCTTTTTTATTACAGATGACTCACACACTTGCCAAAGAATAGCATGAGTTCGAGTTATTTATTCAAAGTGCCGTTTGCGTGTCCATCACAGTTCCCTATCTTCACACGTTCAATTATCAGCGTGGTGTTTTTTGGGAGCGATTATTATTCATTACCTCATTTACGCGCCTTGGAAGAGCGTCAATCTCAGCATAAAGATATTCAATTATTGTTTGTGGTTACTACCTCAGATAAAACTCCTGTGGGATATCATTGTATTCAGAATAAAATAGGTATGTAAAGAGCTTTATTGGTCAAAAAGGACTAATTTTTAAATAAAAAATGACAGTTTAATTCGTGCATAAAATGATAGCTAAAATCAAATTTTCCATAGTGGCATGTTTGATTTGAATAATTTTGTTAAATAACTTTCATTCTGATTCTAAAAAAATCATCTACTCTAACTTTCATATGAACTCTTCAACTATACCGTCCAAGCTATGGGATACGATACTACATAAAACATCCATCTGAGTTAAAGCTTTTTCCATGGGTTAAAATGAAACCAATACCAAACATTTTCATTGGTACTGTTTTGATATACTTTTTTTATCATCAAAAATTTCAATTTATGTAACCCATTTACCTGTTACAGGTTTATCTACTAGGCATTAAGCCTCACTATTTGTGTGAAGGCCAGTGATTATATTGCATAGCTACCTAAATCGAAGTAGGAGTGTAATTCGAACCTACAATCAAAGTCACCATTCATGAACCTTACGTTCATTAGTGAATGGTTCACCACAAACCTCAAGTTTCATATTAGGTTGCTAGCTGAAGGCAATTTATAGCAATCCATGAGCCTGGTGTTTTCATCAGTTGAAACTTGTTCTTACTGGTGTATCTCCAAACAGATACTCCCCATGGAATATTTCTCTGTGACCCAGTGTCAAAGATTGAAATGTTACCTTCAAGCTAAAACTGTATTCACTGTCATTTGAACATATTAAACAGTAATACCATAAATCTCTGACATTTCTATTCACTATAACTTTTTTTGACCCACGAAGAGTAATGCAATAAAATTTTATTGGAATAATGACAAAAAAATCAGTAATAATCATAAGCAAGGAATATTCATCTACACTGCTAGGATTACCAACTATTTTAATTTCTTCACACAGCTTAAATAATATTACTGAGGTAGAAGTGTATATGATGGTTGTTTAGTTTAAATTTAGTTGTTACTACAGATTGATAATCATGATCTAATCCACTTACCATGTACAGATCCATGTGCTCAACTTTAAACTGCATTTAAAGTACGAGAGCTAATGGTTCAGACTTCCGACCTTTAGCCACTAAGTCCCTGGTTTGAACCCTACTCTACCTACTTAGTTTTAGGTGACCGGGTAGTATCATTACCCCTCGTATTTAAAATGCGGTTTGTACTCCAGCGACTGGTGAATGAGTTAATGAAAATTAAAAAAAAGATTTATACTACCCGGTTGTCCAAACCAAAGTAAGTAAACTGGGATTCGAAGCTGCAATGCAATGGTCCAAAGTTCAATACCTTAACTATTACCCCACGGATTGACATACACTGCATAATCTGAAGGTCCGGTGTTCAATCCTAGGTAAGGCCTCGAGTTTTCATCACACTAAAGAGTCTCAAATGAAGATGAAACAGATCCTCAATGACCCGTGATGTATATCTGTGGTGAAAACTGGCTTTATTTGGTGTGATTACTTTTTTTAAAAAACGTTCTGGAAAGGTACATAATGTTACCATTTGTTGAAGGTAATAAATCCACGTCATTGTTTTGTCTTTTTCCGAACCCATTTTCTAATTTCACTGAGAAGACCACGTGATTTGGCCACGCACACTTACGAATAATTCAATAATCATCAATGCTGTTAGTCAACGAATAGATAAACTACAAAGTATAAATTCTTTGGATAAACCAGAGAAATTGTTAGGCGTAATTGTTTCATTTGGTCGATTTCTACCATCATCACTCTTGTCTTTATTCAATTATGGGTGCTTTAATATACATCCATCATTATTACCAAGATGGAAAGGTTCTAACCCATTATTATATACTTTATTAACCGATGATAAAGTTACTGGGATTACTTTATTCCGATTAAATCCGATGCATACAACTTTCGACTCTGGATCTGTTTTGTATCAAAAATCCATTCGTCTACCTTGTAATAAGAATACAATGCTAACACCGAATCAATTAGCTACATATTTAATGCCACATAGCATTAGTGCTATGTTTGAGGTAAGACATAGTTGGATTCGGTTTCATACTTCACAATCAAACATTTTAAATAATTATCTTGATATTTATGCTGTTATATTCCAGTCGAAATTATGGATTTTTAAACGTCACTCTGACTACTTAGGTTCCTCATTTCCAACACAATTTATTTCCGCCTAATTAGTGTCATGAAATTGTATAACGTTTTGAATCGTACTAACCTTTATGACTTATTTCAATGTTTTCAAACAACAAACTGAATGGTTCGATTTTGTAGTTTTACGTTGTCTGACTTCAATTGAGCAAGCGTTAGAAACTACAGAGAATCGAACAGCTGTTTCATTTTGGTATCGGACTCAACAGCGTGCATCCACTATCCCACCGATGATTGAACCGAAGACCCACTGGACTCGTAACAAGAATTTAACCGACTTGGTTACAGTTAATTTTTCAGTGAAGTCTATACTGTAGTGCATTTAAAGTCAAAGGATATTCAGGCTTAACGACTAGATAGTTCTAAAAATTGTAAGCAATACGTCACTTAGTAGAGATTTTTAAGAAACTTCATCAGTAGAACAGAAAACAAATAAGTTTACCTTTTTGTATTGATGGTGGATAAGTAACAGTTTCCGGAGAGACCACAAAATGTGTGACTTACAGAAATGGTGGATTTTGTAGCTCAGAAGACGAGTTTTGGAACCATCATGTTCTATATGCTAGATAGCTTGGTTATTTACCTTCCTCTTTCTGAGAATAAATGTTAGACCTTTATAATTGATTGTTCGCTGGATGGTGATCAATGTCGTGTATGTCAGGTCCTTCTTAGTGCAGATCGAATCCTATCGACCAAGTTGCAATATGGCTACTAGTCTAGGTGGCTCGACGTTACGTGCATTATGTTGAGATAAGATGGTGGTTGGAAGTAGTCAGCAGGAAACCCTGAACCTAGGTTTCGTACTACTTGGCACTCGTCAGCAAGGTATGCCTGTAATCTTGAGGGAACTAATGGACCTGACACACATGACATTGATCACCACCCAGTGGTTAATCAATCGCAAACACATCTCAGTCCTACAGGAGGTCAGTGATGGCCCGGATAGCCCAGTGGTAACGTCTTTGACTGAAGCTGGTTGACACGGGATCGAATCGGTCAGGGAGCATCAGTTCAATCAAGATTACTGGTACACATTGCTGACCAGTGCCAAGTACGCACAAAACCTAGGTCCAGGGTTTCCTGTTGACTACCTCCAACCACCACATTAGATGTTCCTCATCAGAGAATGTAGGATCATCAAAGGTTAACCTTACATTCGAAAGTTCAGTCAAAGAAGAGGTATGTACTCCAAATAAATAAATAAGAATTAAACTAAAAGGCTTGCTACTAATTAGCAAAAAACGCACGCAGCTGTTTCCAGCAGTAATATTAATTAATAACGAAAATAAATTAAGCATTTTGGAGATTGAAAAAGCCTTTCAAAGTAAACATGATTTTAGTAACACGTATGAGAGAGGTTAAAAAAGGGAGGGGGTTATAAAACACTACTACCAATAGAAATTTAAACTAAGACATTGAAGTAAGATCATAAACGAATGAGAAACGTAGCTCATTGCGACAATGCAACTATGCATTTATTGCACACAAGTCATGAAAATTATTCAAAATACTCAAACTATTGACTATTTTCAAATAGTGTACCGTAACAACATATAAAAACCAAGCAAAGAATGATGTCAATGTAAAGCATTTATCGCACCATGTGTCATCTATCCTAGTATCATCATTATGATATTTATATTATTGGTTTTATAGGTCATTTTATATCCTAACTTACCACATTTAGTCGGTGTTGATCAATCAGTGATTTCAGCGAAATTTCAACTTTCAATAACGTATGCTCGTAAACCTCAACCCTATATGGGTTTAATCAATTGGCAGGAACAATCAGCCGAAGATATAATTCGATATTGGCATGCATTTCAAGGCACTTGTGTAAATTTATATACGGAGCTTTGTTTATTGAACACTGTACAAGAAGAAAAGGAGAATAATTCTTTAGTTGCAAATTTTCGTCTATCCGAATGTCCATTGTTGGTACCACATATTGATCGTGCTTCTAACAATAACAATGGCCAGAATAATGCTGAAGTTGCCGATATATACTGTCCAAACTATGGGTCCAAAGTTCGTGGTATTATATTATTTATTTTTAAATTCATTTCAATTGTGAACTGGCGTTATTTGGAGAAGACTATTGAAAACCAGGAAACACTAACACAGTTGTTTCCTTCTAGCTTGAAACTACTCAACAGTGTGCACTCACTACCTCACCAATCAAATTGAAGCTAGCACCTTCAAATCTTGCAGCAGAGTGAATGAGTAATATGCGTGACATTCAACCAATTGGTCTCAGATTAGAAACCCCTAAAAGCCTACTTCGTTTTAAATATTCAGTTAGGGCCAGATCTGTACTTGGTAAATAATTAAGGTATATCAATTTAATAAAGTAAATTAGGTCACTATATTTACATGTGGATCAATAAATATCACGATACGGTATCCAATAAACCATATTTCCAAATTCAATCAATTTCCAAGCTATTATGATTATTCTTAGGTGATGGATAGTCTTGATGATATAACGGATGAATGAAAATAGTTTTTGTGTGCCAAGTTGTACTGCTATTATACGATAATGTGACTGGAAATCAACATTATATTCCCACTAGACTGGATACTCGATCTACTGATATGATATGCACAGACTGGATCACGTTATACCAGACAAAATATTTACGACCAAATATTTAGAATCAGAGGATAGGCTAGGCAATACTTTACTTAGCACAATTACAAGCAGTTTACACCCAGTGAATCCAAAGTATAAATCAATGATAAAAAGGAAATTCGATATTAAATAGTTAATAAGTTTTGTCTGTCTTTTCGCGCTCTGTGGCCAATCGAATCTTACTTCCAATAGCCACACTTTAACTGACATGAAAATACGTAAATGTAATATACTACTTAAAAATTTCTATAATGACAGACTGATATAAATTGTTTGATTAATTTCTTTAAAAAAACAAACAATATGCTAATTATTACTTAATTTGTATACCAGTAGTTTAGTTGATAATTCCTTTGGTTTCCAACCAGTCAACCATAGTTAAGTCTCTAAGCTAATGCATACAAACTTGTACTTGAACTCTAAACTGCTAATAAAGTTCCCCTTAAGGTTATAACTAAAAATATCACTCAAACGAATTGTCCATCTACCCTCTTTTAAATCAGTTCACTTGAATATATAATTCTTGTTATTTTATTGTTCATAAAGGATTTTAAAACTCAATAATTAATATGTATCATATAACTATGAGTTAGCATCAACCATATAATATTATTAAGAATCAAGAAGTTGTGAATAATGGTTTCGTCTTTGTTTGCAACAGTCTTCAACAGTTCCCATGTACGATTTGTTAGACAATCAAATTTTTAAGTTTTATGACAACTATAATACATGTTATTTTGTAATTTACATGACGGGCTGACTGTAGATAGATAACCTCTGCAAACCAGAAGTCAGTGGACAGTTATTTTGTCCTAAGATTAGAACTTATCAATAGTCCTCATCCATGATCACCACAACGATCGAATCCAAGACCTTCAGACTACTGATTTAATATCCAGTTCACTTCTAACTTTAGTTAACTCTCAACATTGTGTGAACAACAGCTTTCTATCACATTGATGGCTAATAAATAGCCTTACTCCTGATATGGTTGAACTCTACTGATCACAGTTGGTAATATTAAGGATATCTAATTTAAATAAGCTTTTTTATTGTTACTTATGTTATTTTTCATAGATTATGGACTATCTCAATGAAGCTTCAATTCTTCTGCATCAACCATATCCATCGTCATTACCACCTGGAAGTATTGTATATTTACGTTCACAAAAAGATAAGAAACATCATTTAATACCATACGCTTTCATTGCTTGTAAGCCAAATAATTCTTCACCTATTATAAAACAGAATAATTCTGTATCATGGTTAGCTGTTAAAAGTTTTTTTGTGAAGTGGCCTAATTCATCAACGAACAGTCGACATTTAACAGCTATTGATTTATATAATGGTTATTTTTCAAAATATATTCATTTGCTACCATCGGCATCATCGACACTGAAAGTATCTGTAGTAAATGAAGAGCGAAATTCTCAACAATTTGGTGTACGTTATTTTGGTGAGTTTTGGTCTAACTCTTCGTCTACATCATCGATACTAAGTGGTAATAATAATAATGATAATACCTTGATAAAACCTTGGAATGAACTAACACCGACTATCCTACCTTCTCATTTACAATCATCATCTGATATGTCAATCGTTGTATAAAATGTACATAGTTGATAGTTAAAATAAATATTTTTACTAATAAAAACAATCTATTTTATTCTTTTCTATTGGCTAAGAAACATTTTTTTATTCATCGAAAGTTAGACTTGATTAATATACATAAAAAAGTTAATAATCTCTTATCTATTAAAATGAGCTCGAGTGAGAAGTGTGGTTAAATGCAGAATATTAGGTTAAGATGGCCAATCGGTTAGTGAGGTTGTGAATCTTTATCGACCGAGATAGCTGCATATGTCCAACTACCATCCACCTTAACTCTTAATGCTTGCTGACTTGGAAGCACGCTGACAGGAAGACATAGTGTCAGTTCATGAAGTTAATTAGCATTCGTCTGAACCCTGTTAATCAGTGTACACTACTTGTTTGTAATCCATCGGATTAACGCAAGCAATGGCTGCTTACGTTGAATGACATCTCAATCGGTTGCAATGACACAGACTCATTCACTATTTTCTTTTCCCCTTGATATTCATTTTTAAAATGGTCTCATACATTTATTCTGTAGAGTCACTCTTCTAAAATTAAATTGTCTTAATATTTTCTACTGTTATTGGTACTCTTACTACCCCTATTCCTATGATGCTTATCTTGATAATTTCATCTCACTATGCTTATGTAGTGTGTTAAGCTAAACCAATACGTGTACGTACCAGGTTTTACCTTGCTTATGACTAACATTAAAAGTAAATTCAGCTGAAAATCAGATTTGGAGTAAACAGCACTGAACTTATTTGAAATTAGGTTTTACAAGGTTTGTATAATTAATGGTTAGTACTGCTTGTAAACAAAAAAAAGTAACTTTTAATTTTCCAGTTCACATTATGATTTGATTCTAGCCTAGACAACCATTAAAAACCATGAAACCTTGGGTATATGTTTCATCTTATAGTACGGAGCTTATCAACAGTGCACAACCGGTGACCTGGCTAGACGTAGAACCAAAAACCTTCAACACTCACAATAATCATGCTACTCTTCAGGGATATTAAATTGACTTACAACAGTTGCTTTTAGTCAACTCGCTAGACTTCTCAGTATCGTGATATAAACAAAAAATGGGACGATATCCGCAAAATTTTTATAACTTTATTTGTTCAATATACATATTTAAAACTCCGTCAAATTTTGATATTCGAAAGACGAATTCCACATTGATATAAAGATACAAATGAATTACTATTTATATTCTTATAGTTTAGTTACTTAGTAACTGAGTTACTTTTTTTAGTCTTCCGTTTATTGTAAGCTTTCGTTAAACCCACTAACTCTTATCATACTACTTATTGTTCCTAATTTACACCCAATCAATTTGTTACAGCTTGCCCTATTCTCTACGTATAATTGTTATTTCTCAATTTATGGTATGATGTGGTCCAGTATACTTGTATGTAAACTCACATCTGCTTGAAATATATAATAGAAGCTGCGCGTTAATTTCTATTTAGACTTAAGGGAGGCGATAGAGAAGGATTAACAGGAGCTTGGTTTGAGTCATCGCAAGATTAGTAGTGCATATCAGATGTGTAATTGGTCTAGGATACTAGGCTATAAAAGAAATAGTAGACGCGAAAATAGCAAAAAAATTGGAATCGGAATTCTGATTGGTGACTTTAGCATGTGATATCGATTAGTGTCTCAAATCATAACAACTATGAAACACACTGTGTATGATGATTAGTAATACATTGTACCCGATTCCTTGAATCAAATTAGTTAGTATTAAGATTTGAACCAATGATCACCTGGTGATTGGAAACCGATAGTTTTGACTCATAGACTACTACTGTACAATTAGAAATAAATTAGTTACAAATAAAATGATTTTCTGATTACAACCAACATAAAAGACTTATAACATTAACAATAATTGATCTTAAACGAAACTTTTGGATGATGTGGTTCTTATTACTATTCTTTCCAATTACTTGTAATGCTTTCTCTATCAAAATGAAAAGTACTAGTGACGTAACTGAGAATCAGTTGTTCACATTGATTATTAAAAATATCAACTATGAATTAAACAACCCTATCTCCACAAAACCGATTCGTTAATACTACAGTCGTGTGCTCAATATTGATTTTACTTCAAGATAAGTGTCTAAAGTCCTGGTGGAAATCATAAGCGTAAAGCGGTAGCCTAGTGGTTAAGATATCCGACCTCCGGTTAGTATGTCCGTCTCCGCTACTTCAGTTCTGGCAACTGAGCGGAATCACTAACCTTCATAATTAAAGCATGGGTCATGCCCAACTACCTGGTAAATAAGTTTGTTCAATTACTTATAGTGAAATATAATGCAAAAGCTTGTAGGAAAGCCATCCTAGCAGTAAAGATACCCATCGATTTCATAGGAATGTTGGACAACAGAATACGAGGTTACACAACCAGTTTATGACCGAAGTTGATTTCAACTTCCACCAATGTATCCTAATCTATGGTTAGACTAGAGGACACTAGTGAGATAACCTTAAGAATGAATAATATTGAGTGTGTACCAGGTGTACATTAAAAGTCTTGTAGAAATAATGGTCATAGATTAGATCAGGTTATATTTAAAAGGTGTTATTCTATAATACAATAATAAAACTACTATCTGAATAACTATAGTTATCTTTAATTTCATAGTCTATAAGTAGGTACGCTTTATTGGGACAATAAAGAGTCCATCTAAGCAAATTAATATGAAGACCCAAATTGAAATAAATGATGAAGCGATATAAAAAAAACGAGAAATGGTGTAAAGTCTAAAGAACAATTCTTCGTAAACAACATAAAAATAAAATCGGAAACATAAAAAGTATCTAACTCTTAATATGCTCCGAACAAATACAGACGAAGACTTTTAATTTAGCAGTAGCCTCTGCATCAATAGGCCTCAACAGAAAAGGCAAGATCCTCAAATACACCACGGAGAACTCCAAGTCAATCACACTTGATGGAGAAACTCTGGAAGATGTGGAAACATTCACGTACCTGGGAAGCATCATTGATGAACAAGGAGGATCTGATGTAGATGTAAAGACGAGGATTGGCAAAACATAGATCGCATTCTTACAATTGAAGAACATATGGAACTCAAAACAACTGTCTGTTAACCAATATCAAAGTGAGAATTTTCAATACGATCGTCAAGACAGTCCTACTGTACGGAGCTTAAACGTGAAGAACTAATAAATCCATCGTCAAGAAGATACATTTATAAACAGTTGTTTACGCAAAATACTCAACATTCACTGGCCGGATACTATGAGCAACAGCATTTTATGGGAGAGGACAAACCAGCTTCCAGCTGAAAAGGAAATTAGGGAAAGACGTTGGAGATTGATAAGACATACATTAAAGAAATCACCAAACTGCATCACGACGCAATCCCTAACTTAGAATGGTGAAGGGGAAGCTGAAAGGAGAAAACCCAAGGAACACATTACGCTGGGAAATAGAAGCAGATATGAAAAGGATGAATGTTAACTGGAAAGGATTGCCCAGGACAGGGTTGGATGGAAAATGCTGGTTGGCGGCCTATGCTCCTCCATGAGGGGTAACAGGCAAACGTAAGTAAGTAAGCCTCAATATACTCATTCTTTGAATTATGATATATGATTCAAATAATAAATATCATTTAAACTATTTGCTAAAGATCATAAAAATCACTTTACCTAATCCAGTTCTAATTGTCATCTATAAACGTTTTCTTTTTTTATTTAATAAACTTTTTTATTGGTCATTCAATGAACAATCAAATTAATCATCCTACTTAAAACAATCACTATTATTCAAATTACTTAATTCATTGTTCATTCATTTTTGTTTCTAAATGTGTGTTTTTTAGTGTGTGTGTGTGTGTGTGCGTTTAATTGTTTATAACAAACTATAAACTTTGTTTAATAGTTTCCATTTATGTAACAATAACCATTCAATTGATTACATAATATACATGATAAACAAAAAATAAGTTTTAATTTTTTTTTATTTTCTGTGTTGTTTTTTTTCTTTTTACAAACAATTAACCAATCATAGTTTTTATTGATATTCGTTTGGAAATAAAAACATAAAAAATAATAATGAATTTCTATCACATTTAATTTGTTGTTATTCATTCATGAAAATGGAAATAAAAACGGTGTTGTTTTGTTTCTTTCTCTTATTCATATATCATATTGTTGTGAACAAATACTTAGCTATCGACAACTAATGTGTTTTAGTGAAAAAAAAACATAACAGAATATCCTGGTGAAATAAATATATGAACCATACTTTTATATAGTTGAAATCATGAGTCAATTGAAGCTAGACCACCATGGAAAACCTGAAAGCACTGAACAGCCGTTTCGTTCTATTGTAGGACTCCTCAGCAGTGCTCATCCACGATCCCGCCTCTCGAGATTAGAAGCAAGGACCTATCAGTTTCGCGCGCTAGCGCTTAACCTCTAGACAACTGAGCTAGCCGGCATCCAACGGTGTTAATGCTTAACTTCAACCAATCCATGAAATTGAGCAACCATTCACCAATGCCTTTAGTGGGTTGATATCTCCCAACAGACTTGATTGAACTCCACTGGTTACTGCTTCTCACTAGAACTCCAGGAAATACCTCATGGACCCAGTCACAAGTGAGTATATGATCATTATCAGAAGGAGGTTTTGTGCTTCCAGGTTTTCCATAGTGGTCTAGCTTCAATCGACTCATGGTTTCAACTATACAAAATTACTAAAATCTCCACAAAACCCACTTCTGATATGAACCATATGTTGAATATAGCATTTGCACGTTTCCACCAAGTGTCTTTCACATTCTGTATGATTGTTCCAATTAACTATTCTTTTCTATTCTCTTCAACTCGATCTTCTTAGCTTTCTACCTCCAGGTTTTCCGCTTTCTATTGGCGCTACATATTACTTATGTTTGTCGACAGACATAAATAGTATGCAACACAATATTATACCATCTAATGAATTACACAGCTATAATATCTACAAATGTGACCAATTTATTTGTTATTACATTTTGAAGTCTGGCGCCAGTTAATCAAACCTGAAATGTGAAAAAGCATTCATGATCTTGAGATTGAATGAACAACTGCATGGATGTTTACAAATCAGAAACAGAAATGAGTCCATCCTTTCTTTGAACCAAAACTGAACTAATGAAATAGAGAACCCAGTGACTTAAAAATAAATGCTGAATGCAATAATTTTCATTTAAAAAGTATCACAAATAAAAAGTAGAAGGAACTACTTTCTCTATTTTACAGTTTTCACATTTCCACTACATAAAATACTAGCTGAAGTTAGCTTTATTGATTTTTATTAGTGCAGGAGCTTTTTTGAAGACTGTTAAATTCCATCATTCATGTTACAGATAGGGTTGGATAGCTGTTTTGTCCCAGTATAGGATTCCTCAGTGATATGTATCTACGACCTCGCTGGAGATCGAGTCCATAACCTTTAGGCCTCGACAGAGTTCAACTATGTTGTGTTTGAAGTAGTTACTCAATTATGGCACTGGAAGACGGTTGCACCACGTTGGGAATTGATTGGAGTTAGATATGTAAACTACTGGGAGCCAACCTAGTGGCCTAAGGAAGAGCTGAAGGTCTCAG